GATAAACTAATAAATACCACACAATTCTGTTTAGTTTTTCAATTACAAAAGAAATCTTTCCAGGCTTGGAGCCCGTAGCTCAGTGTTAGGGTGCCAGCAACATGCACCAGGACTAGTGGCTTCGAACCTGGCTAGGGCCTGCTAAACAACAATGACAACAATAACAAAAAAAATAGCTGGGCATTGTGGCAGATCCCTGCTGTCCCAGCTACTTGGGAGGTTGAGGCAAGAGAATCGCTTACGCCCAAGGTTTAAGCCCAATCGAGGTTGCTGTGAGCTGTGACACTACCGCACTCTACCTAAGGGACTCACTACTCTGACATAGTGACCCTCTGTCTCAAAAAAAAAAAGATCTTTCCAGCAGTTCAAGGAAAGTTCTAACTTAATTCATGCTTTCAAATCTAGAGAAAGTGATGGCTGATGGTAAGACACATTCTCTATAATAAGATAAGGGTGAAGGTACCTATACAACTTGAAAGGAGTTTCAAATATTTTAAAAGAAACGATATTCGAGATCAGACTCAAATCATTTATTTAGGCCAAATTATTTTAAAAGGAAATTCTGTGACATAGCATATTGAAAATACTAAAAAAATTCCCAATTTTGAGATTCCAAGGCCATGATCTCATGAAAATGCAGCCATTTTCTACGATCTTCAGATCACAAACTCAAGAACTTATACCAAATTTTACAAACCTATTTAAGTCTGTTATACTCAGCAAAATCAATGTATTTTAAGCTATCCATCCATACTCATTGCCATTGCATTACTGCTGCCACGTTTTTTAGGAATCATCATCAAGCAATTTAGGCCCTAAAATGGGCCCAAATTTGAAATTTGAAACTTTGAAAAAATTGGAGATAGAAAGGCAATGAATTAACATCATTCAGGGGCTCCCTTGGATTCTTCCAGGCAAAAAGACTCCACAAGAGTCTAGGGTGCTAAAAGGCAGCTTAGCTATCTGGACTCTGGTTATGAACAATACAAGGGGGGAAAGTAGGCCATTACTATGCCAAAAATTACCATCATGAAAATATGATAAATGTTATCAACGTCAGAAAGGGTCAGTGCCCAGTATGTTTTATTTCTTCGACACTACCAACTACCCAACAAAACAGGCTCAACAAATCATGTGTCTGAAAGTTACAATACAGTTTACATTCCTCTGTAATTATAAAAAGAATAATTTTTTTAAATGGGGTAGCAATATGTATTTTAGATCCATAATCTGATTTTAATGTAGATCAAAAACGCGACAGCTTTTAGAAATGAGAAAAGAAAAAAAGAAAGAATCCCACACCCGGGACCTGGAACCTCAATTAATTCAGCACGGCTTTCCAGTGTTGAATAAAAAGTCTATCATAGAAAGCTACATGGGAATGTTAAACTTCTGTTTCTGGACTTTGATCCAAGCTGCCATAAAAACTTGTCCTCGCTTAATATCTATTTCCAGTATACGCCAAATATTCTCAAGCTTTTGCCTAGTACAAAACAAAGCAATAAAAAGTCAATCATGTCACCCCTACGATACTAAATGGCTTAAAACATCACCCACAATCACGCAGCTAATTAGTTATTAATGAAAGGTAACTTTATTCTAATATGCTGTCAAGAATAACAACAGCTGTTAAGTGGCATTAGCACCAGGAAGGCTTCATTTGCAAATGCATGCACTTTTAAAACCCTCAGTCAACACAGTACCCAAGGCCTGTAGGACTACAAACTGTCTAGGATTGTGGGGGGGGGGGGGTGTTTCCAGATGCAGCGTACCAGCCTCAAATTAATTTTTATGACAATAGATTATGTTAGGAATTGTTCAATTGACAAAAATTCACATAAACAGGTTGTAACAACCAAAAATCATCTATCTCTATGCTCCAAGCTATACCTTTTAATAAAGTAGTTAGCTCTGTATTTGAAGACAGTTACAGGAAACAGGGCAATATAGCAGCATAACTGCTTTAAGGTCAAACAAAATTCCCAGGTGTTTTGAGAATTGAGGAATGCCAGAACCTTCATTATGTTCGATGACTACCATCGGATCAGATCATTCAGACTGGGGCTAGGATAAACAAGCATGCATAAATGTCCAATAGCAATAAATAAAGACAGAAATAGTTCCATCAGCAAGCCTGGTTACTGATGCAGATGGGTCAGCTTGAGTGAATCTAAATGTGTTTTAAATCTTAATACATGCCACACACCTCTACAGAATTATTCTGTTTTGTGGGTTTCCTGAATCACATACAGTATTTATTTCACACTTAAAAAATATAATAAAAGGGAAAAAACAAAGTAATTGTAAGACTGTAATGTAATGTTTAGCTGTAAGGCTAAAATGCAATAAATTTTTACCACAATAATGTCCAACACACTGACATTAGTAGTTGGGCAATTTTATAATCAACTAATGTCCAATTTCTTATCCTTAAGTTTCTAGTTAATGCCACCAAACAGAAAGCCAAATTGGAATATTGTTTCATGAAGGACTTCTGGCTACACACAAATTATAAGATTACAATTTTTTACACTGACAAATCTCAGCACTTGCTAACTCCTAACATTAAAGGCCTGCACTACCCTTAAATATGTCACACTTTCACTTTCCAACTTTACTCCACATAAACTCCTAAGAATATACATACGCACATATGTATTACAAAAAGTGTTCTGTTTGTTGCCAACATCAACTATAATTTAAAAGCCCTAACCAAGAAAGTTTTTTGAAAGTCTTTTGGAATCTCAGATGCTCTCAATTTCACTAACAGGGCAATTTTAAGAAATGGGATTTTAATCGTATGCTATTTGGGAGAAAAAGTAATGGGAAAAAATGTAACTTAACTCTTTCCCTTTATTTTCTCAAATGTTGCTACACTTTTCAAAGTTTTGGCAGACTCTGGAAGTGGACTCTTTATCTACAAACGGTCAAAAACTATTAATGAACCATCCCAAATTTATGTCTTCAAAGGAAAAAGGAAGAACAAAGAAAAGGACATTATGCTCATTTATTACATAAGTAACTTTTTTCTTTAAACTGTTAATCATCTGCATAAAGAACCCTCCAACACAATTAAAAATCAGCCTAGCCTGCTGGCCTCCTCCCCATTCTGTGTGCGGTAATTCATGAACACTGGAGGATGAGGATGTCCAAGAGTGAAGGGAAACTGGGGACAGTCAGCCTTGGAGTAGCAGGTAACCCCTGAAAACAGCTGGACCACAGCAATTGAAAATTCTAAACCTAAACAGCGGTAAGTGCCTGATCCTCAACTCGCATAAAAGTGCAGTTAAAAAGAAACCACTTCTAGGGCCATCCTCCGGCCACTTGGAGATTTAGGATTTTGAAAGAAGTCAAAAGCGGATAAGAGGTCTTAAAAAGGAGGGCTGGGTAATTAAAAAGAAGAGGTAAGATTTGTTCCTGAGCCTTCATTTCTGTCGAAAACCCCTGAAAGTGACCGAGTCAACACCAACTAGAAGGTTCCTTAGAAAAATTGGATTAAAAGGGTGTAATCTAAGACCCCCAAGGTAACAGATGTGAAAGTAAAGAACGACAAAGCCCACGTATAATGAGGCATCGCCAGGCTGCCGCGACCCCGCACCCGGTCCCTAACGTGCCACCCCCGCCCCAGGCGAAAGTGCTAAGTGGGGGATGCTGAAGGAAGTACCTCGTTTTGTCTCCAAAGGGCAACATAGCAACCCCGGGAAGTTCGTTTCCGAACTCCGCTGATCCTGGACTCCAGGAAGCTCCACTAGGGCAACGCCGTGCCCAGGTGAGGTGAGGTCGGTGACTCGGAGCCCGCTCCCCTACGGCCCCGGCCGCCGCGCCGCCGCCCGTCGCCGCCGGATCGCCCGGCGCAGCGCCGCCCCCTGGCGGGGAGCGCCCCGCCGAGCCCCGGCCGGCTCCTCCACCATCACCGCCCCGCGAGCGTCACCCTCGCGGCCGCGACCCCGAGCCAGCGGCAGTGGGCTTCGGGACCCTCTCCAAGCGGGTGCGTCCTGGAGTCAGCCCGAGTCCTCGCGTAGGAGCCTTGCTCGAGCCCCGGCTTCGACCAACTCTTCAGGCTTCAGGGGACCCGCCCGCCACGCACTCTCCGCTCCACCCTCTCATCCCTCAGCTCCTGTCTCAATTCCTCCCAACTCTCCAGCGAGTGTTTCCCACGCGCGCCCTAAAGCGCAGCCGCCTCCAAAAGGACAGGCTCCCGCCCTCCGCGGCGGCGCTTGGCTCCCGACCAGGCAGAGCTGGCCTCTGGGGTCTCCGTCGGCCGCGCGGAACCCGCCAACCCCTCGGGGTCCGCTCGCCGCCGCGCCTACCCCGCTCCCTTTGTGTGCGCGCCGCGAACCCTTCGCCAAAGCCGTCCTTTAGGTGGTGCAGCCTTTGGTGGAAAAGCGAATGAGAGTAGACGCGCGGGATAATCGGAGGACTGGAAGGGGACAAAAGGCGACCGCACTCACTTTGGGACGGTTCCGGCATGTTGCTGCCTTTGGGCTTCCTCGTGGTCTCGTCCCTACCCCGGCTTCCCCGCCCAGCCAGGGCCAGGGCGAGGGGGGACGGGGGAGGAGCGGAGCCACTGCGACCGACTTGGAAATGGTGCTTCCGGAGCTGCAGGCAAGGGGTCGATAACTGTTACGGTTTTGCTGGGAGGATTTAGGCGACCAGGAGGGTGGAGAGGAGCTTGAGGAAGGCCCGTGAGCGTTGGATGTGTGAAAATAATCCTGCTCCTCGGGAATACCAAAGGGGATAGGGCTGGGGGTTCGGCAAGTACATTTTTGCATTTGAACTTTCTGAGCAAGTTAGAATCTGACACTTGAGTTTTTTGACTCCTCGCTTAAAGTCGAGGTCGCTACCCCGTAGAAGGACTGAAGACCTACTTAAAAAGCAAAGGGCCTGGGAACACGGGTTCTTTAATGGTAAACGAAGGGGAAATTTAAATAGTGGGACAGAAATCAGCCCCAGGTCAGGCTCCATGCCCCGGACGGGTCTTCCGTGGGTCCTCTTCTTACCTGGTGGCTTTTCTAACAAAGTAAGAGAAGGTAAAGTCCCAGTGATCGTCCAGCCACGCTTCGACCGAGTCCTGGTCCCACTGCTGCTGCTGCTGCTGCTGCTGCTGCTGCTGCTGCCGCCCGAAGTCGGGGCCAGCCCGCTCCATGGTTGGTGCGGCACGTCTCCGCGGCTCCCAGGTTCTGGTTTCCTACCTCATCTGGGGTCCCTCCCTCGTGTAAATGGACTCTGCCTCGAGACCCTCCCCTTTTGCTTTGCTCCACTCGGGCCGGCTTTCGGAGAAGCTGCCTGGGCGCGAGGCCAGCCCCCTGCCCCGCCCCGACCCTCCTGGTCCTCTCGGCACCCAGGTGTGGCGGGCGGGGCCGAGCGCTGCCGCCCTGCGCCCTCCCTAGGGTCGGGCGGAGACCGACTCTCACCGCCTCTCCAGTCGCCCAGTTCCGAGGCAGCGGCGACCGCAACTGGCCAGCTCTCCGGAAGCCAAGTGGCGGCGACTAGGAGGTGGCCACGCGGCCGCTGGGGTGCGCTGTGCACTGAACTGGCTTCTGGGGAAGCGCTAGGGTGTGTTCTCAGTGTCCCGCAGGAAGGGAAAGGTCATAAAGTGCGGGACCCATCCCAAGACCAGCGGGCGGGAGCTGGGTGAAGTTTGACCCAAAGGAAGAGGTGGTGCTATCCTGGGCGCTTTTCCTCGTTCCTGGGAGTACAATGACCGTCCCACCTCGGTTTTCCCTGGCCCAACGCTCAGGTCCGGGAGGAATGGGGACTGACCTTCCTTGGAGCCCAGCCTGCGCAGTGGCTTAAAGGGCTCCAGCCACCGACCACGCCCGGGCGGGAGAGGTGGGGTGTGTGCCACCGGGACGAATTTGCGGTATAGGTGGGTGACTTCCAACAAAGCCATATTCGGGCTTCCTTTGATAACAATAACAATTATACATTAAGCGGCTTTAACTATTGCATCAAACTCCCTCTTTTCATAACTGGAAAAACACTTTCTAGGAAAGGAGAAAAGGCAAACTGAAATAATCACGGGTGCTTTGTGAAGTTAGAAAACAATGACATCTCTATACAATTGAGAGCACCAACAATACCGGGTACAATGGAGTTGGACCAATTTTAAACTAATTCATCATTTTTATTAAAGTGGAATAAAAAGTCCGTTAAAAAGGGCACACAGCCTTCCTACCCTATTTTGTCCTAGCCCTCTCGTGCTTAAGAGGAGGGGGGTTGGTGTCATTCTTTGCTTTGTCCTTATCCTCATCTCCCTGTCGCAAATTTGCAGTTATAATAGGCATTCTGCAATGACCTGATTTTTTTTGAAGAATTAAATCTGGAGTTGTATGTTCCACGACGTCTAAATGACACCATTAATAGTGACAAACCAAAAATAATGTAGTTGACATACTTACTTCTAACAAACTCCTGTCAAAATACTCTTGGCAAATTGTAAGACATTTCCTCACTCCATAGAAATATGTAATTAAATTGATAATATAGGGACTTGAGAAAAAGTCTTTAGAAATTGTCTTTAATTGTCAATGCAACACTTTCTTTCTTGCATTGAATAATTATCGTTTTGTAATTTCAATTTCTCTGAAACTTTACTGTTAAATTCAAGTTACCACAACCGATAAAGTAAGGCAGTAAGAAAATGAGAAGTAACTAGTGATAAATCATATTGGATTTTAAAATGATAATTCTCTACTAATTTGTTGCTATGATAGTAGCTATAGTACTCATGACATAATCATGGGTTACTCAAGGACAGTGATACATTCTGGAAAATGTCTCCTTACGTGATTTCGTCATTGTGGAAACATCATCTTTGTGGGACCATCACAGAATGCACTTTAACAAACCTAAGTGGTATTGATACAAGACAGGTGGCGCCCCTGCCAGCTGGGTGGAGCTGAGGGGTGGACCTGCCGCCTCCGCCTTGGCAGTGTTGGCGTGGTGGCAGCCGGCAGAGGAACCAGCGGGCTGGAAGGTATGCAAGCCCCCCCCCCGCCCCCCGCAGGAGGCTACCGTAGCCAGAGGGGCTAGATAACTGTTGGGTAGGTCTCCGCTTACACTTGCGGTTAAAGAGGGAACCCACAGTTGCCTAGGCCTGGTCAATTTCATGTAGGTTTCCCAGGCCTGGGAATGAACCTGACTGTGTCATTCCTTTGCTACCCAGTCCCAGCTAAATGTAACTACAGAGGACCCATGCAACCATATATATACCCCTGGACAAAGAGCCTGGAGAGACGGAGAGGGAGAGAGAGAACTTCCCACACACACACTTGGTTTCTCTCTGCCGGGAGCTTTGGTGTTTTTGTGCTCTTTTCTGTAAATAAATCCTGTCTTACCACTGATCTGTGGTCTGTGGATTCATTCTTCAAATCCCTGACACCAAGGACCTACTGAAGATGAAATCCCAGTATCAGTATAACCTAAAACACATCTACTCTGTACGGTGCCTATTCTGAACAGAATGTTACTATACTGCATATTATAGTCATTTGTAACAATGGTATTTGTGTACCTAAATGTATCTAAATCTAGAAAAAGTACAGTAAAAATACAGTATTATAATCTTACAGGCCCCCCATAGTATATACAGTCTGTTGCAATTGACAGAAAAACCTATATCTCTTACATGGCCCATGACTATAGAATTTGTCCTTAGTGCTTTTTTTCCCTGTGGAAATCCATGCATTCCTCCCAAAGAAAGTCAATTATAATTTAAAGCTTTACTTACCTGCCTAAAGATGGAGTGAATGCCTGGCTTGAATTGTTTGCTCTGGTTTGCTTAAATAAACAGGTATGGTGGTCTGCATGTTTATGTCTCCTCCAAAATGTGGAAGAGGGTTAGGTTTCCAAACTTAACCCTCAATTCAGTAGTATTAAGGGGGAAAGAGGGGCATTCAGAGGTGATCAGACCATGGGGATCCTGCCCTTATGAATGAATTAATGCTACATTATAAAAGGGCTTGTGGGGACATGTTGACCCCTTCTATTCCTTATGCCATTGAGGGCACATTGCTGACCTGTAGGTGGGATGCAGGAAGAAGCTGCCATCTTCGAAGCCAAGAACAGCCCTCACCAGACAAGGAATCTGCTGGTGCATTGATCTGCTGGCCCGTAGCCTCCAGAACTGTGAAAAATAAATTTCTCTTGTTTATAAATTACCCAGTCTGTAGTATTCTTTTATAGCAGTACAAATGGACTAGGAGAATGGGCAATATCCAAATGTCCTTTCTCTCCTGACCTTTTCTGAAAAATTGCTCCAAACAAAGACAATCCATGGATTCTCCCAACAGAGTGAAGGCCTATTACCCAATGAACACATTATAGGTAATAGAAGGCAGGGGTGTTTGACACAGTTCTTCTCTCCCAGGTGCTCAGATAAAACTTGTAACAATCCTTCTGCAACTTAGAAGTATTTAAAGGTAACCATGTTTTGAACTGTCCTTACCTTAGCTTTTTGTTTTCTAGTTCCATTTTATCCCAATTTTCTCAATTATTTTATGGTTTAACTTGGAATAAGATTGCTCCAAGCACCTAAATCTGACTATGAAATGAGTTGAAAAATAAGTAATAATAAACACTTCCAGGAAACAACTTCAAAAATGCTGTGCATGCTACTTACAACAATTGTGCAAAGACTTAATATAAAGACAGACCTCTTTGTAGTTCCATTGTACTAGAATAAAATTGAAACTCGCTAACACATTATTAGTATGCTATCCACCTCTACTGTTAAAGGTTTGGGTCATACAGCCAGGGAAAAAACCATACATGATTAAATTCCCTTTTCCAAAAAAGACAACACAAATTATAAGAGTTTTTGCCTTGGTTTTATTTTTTCAAATACTACTCATTATTTTCTGTTCCTTTGCAGCAGTCCTATAATACACAATATAAAATTAAAAGTACGTTAAACAACTTTATGCCAATAAATTCAATAATTTTGATGAAATGGATAAGTTCCTTTAAAATAACAGCTAACCGAAACTGACACAAAATGAAATTAGGAATTCTATTGAAATAAAATTCAATAACACATCAAATTTATTATTTTAAGAAACCTTCCTGCAAGGAACACTTCAGGCCTAAATAGTTTTTCTGGTGAATTTGATCAAACATTTAAGCCAAAAACAATACTTTCATTAAGCCAGAAAAACCCTGATACCAAACATGACACAGATATTTAAGAAAACAGTATCTGTCATGATAGAAATATAAAACTCTTTTTAAAAAATTAGCAAACTGACTCTAGTAATAAATACAAATATTTTTTAAAATATAAGATCCATTGACTTATTTATACCAAGAATATATTATTGGTTTAACATTCAAAAATTTATTGCAACTCTCTGTATTGACAAAAATAAATAATCATGTCAATTCATGCAGAGAAAAACCATCTGACAAAATTCAATACTCATTCATGATTTAAAAAAAAGAAGAAGAAGAAAGAAAGAAATCCAGGCAAACAAAGAATAGAAACATACTTTTCAATTTGCTAAAGTGTATCTATTAAAAAAAATTTTTCCCGTAAGATTGGAATACGAAAGCTTATCCTTAGCATGTCTATTCAGTATTGTGCATGTCTTAACCAGAGCAATAAGATAAAAAATGGAAAACAAACAAAAAAGAAACACACCAGCATTAAAATTAGAAAAGAAACAGTAAAACTTCCTGTGCTTTCGGACAAGAGTGTCTATGAAGGCACCCCAGGGAATGTACAAATCAGCTATAAGAGTTACTGGATGACTTAGCAAGGTCAGTGTGCAAAAGTCAACTGTATTTCTGCACACTAATTTATGGGCTGAAGTGTGTTTCCCCCAAATTCAAACGGTAAAGCTCTAACCTAGAGTTTGGGCTTGTAAAGAGATAATTAAGGTTAAATGAGGCCATGTGAATGATCCCAATCCAATCTGACGGATGCCTTCCTTTATTTATTTATTTTTTCTGACGGATGCCTTTATAAGAAGAAATCTGCACACACGAAAAGAGACACCCCAAATCCTCCTGCACAGAGGGACAACCATGTACAGAAGCAGCAAGAGGGCAGCCATTGCCAGCCGCAGAGAAACCCCTCAGAGGAAATAACCTGCTGGCACCTTGATCCTGGACTTCCAGCCTCCAGATAAATTTCTGTTATTCAACCCCCCCAGTCTGGGTCACTTCATTATGGCAACCCTAACACAACTGGAAATGAGCAATTAGAAAACATATCCTTTGCAATAATGTAAAAAACATTCATGACTTAGGGATAAATTTAACAAAA